GCGGCGGCGTGGCGCTGCCGGCGACCTGCAGGTGAATGGGCAGCACCACGGGGCTGTCCCCCAGGCAGATGGGCTGCAGCACGGTGGCGGCCACCTTGAGCGCCACCCCGCTCTGCGACTCGGCCGGCGGCGTGAGGATGGAGGGAGCGGGCACCGTCACCAGCGGGGAAAGCGCTTTCTTCATCAGGTCCGTCGAGTTGATGTTCCAGGCCTCCGCCGTTATCAGCTGCGCGACCCCGTTTTCGAGTTTGTTGTTGGCGATCGTGGAAGGCGAGCTGGTAACGTCCATGGGCAGGTTTTGGGTGTCCTTGTACAGCTCCTCCATTTTACAGGGCTTGTGAGACTCTGCAGACTCCAAGTTTACATTGCTGTCACCAGGACCCGCAGTGGCTCCGCGCTGCCAAAAGCATCTGCACAGACATAATTTGGCCTGCAAAACAGAAACACATTTTAGGCACTGCATAAATCTCCTTCTTAAAATAATATTTGCAATTGCCTTTAAAGACCCTATCACCAAAAAAAACCTGTTAAATGTTTCCACACTTCAGCGTAACGGCTCTATACTACTATACAGTGTATATACATATATGCTGTATATACATACAGCCGTGAGTGTTGTACGAAGAGTTCTGAGGAACTTATATTTAGCCGTAAACACAGATAATTTAAAAGGGCTCGAGAACTGACTGCAGGCAAAGGGAAAAAACCCTCCTGTGTGCAGCGTAAAACAAGGACTCGGGCAGTCCATTTTACATTTTTAAACAAAGCTTCACGTAATGACAGTGTATGGCAGAGTCGAGAGACAGTGCACTGTTTTAACTCAACAAACGCACAAAAACAAACATTCCTAAAAATAAACCGCTAAGAAATGTTCCGCTGTGGGCAAAGGGTCCTTCGTTCCCCCAAAAATAATTCGTCCCTTTTTGGTCCTTGCAGGCTTCGCTAAAATAAAGCAGCCAATCCCCGCGCGCTCTCCCCAGCACCTCAGAAACTGCAGTTCGCAGGGTAACAAAGGAGCCCGGCCGCGGCGGGCTGCGCCGCTGGCACGTTCGGCAACAACCCCAAACACTCGCCCTGCTCCAGAGCTAGATGAAGACAGGAGTATGAACCAGACACCTGATTAATAAAAGATACAGAGACTAAAAATCAAAGCAACTTTAAATTTACTTTGACAGCCTAATCCTTTATCTGAACTATGCAAATGTTAGTTAAAAAAAAAAAAGAGAGAGAGAGAGAGGCACAGATCTTTCCTGTTCAGCAGCTCTGTGAAATATTCAGTGTATTTCCTAAAAAGATCCTCCCCCCGCCCAAGAAAGTGGCAAATTAATGGTGACGTGCGTTCATTTATTTAGCAGGATAAATGATTTCCGCCGCGAGAGCTGCCGTACGCAGAATTTGCGTGGAGGAGCGCCTTGCCGCGTTGCACAAAACGTGCCACTCCTGAAGTGAGCAGCGCATCCTGCGATAATAATCACCATGGAAACTTGTCCATTTTTAACTCTGTTACCATGGGAAAGCACCAGAGCCCCCCCCAAATTTACATTTTCACCTGCACACGGCTGAATTTGCCTACCTAACACCGACACACGCAGTGTCAGCGGCAGGCTCGCGAGGCCTATCAGACCGAGGCTCTCCCCCCCACGTCCTTCAGCCGGGTTTGTTATTAAAAACGATAGGAAAGGGTGCGCGGCTCCAAAACTGGACGTGGTGGGCGCCTGAGCCTTCAGATGCTGCTCTGCCTACAGGCACACAAATAGTTTCACTGGATCTGCTACTCGCGCAGATTTACTTGCTTGCATACAGGTTTGCAGCAATGGCACTATGGCCTGCAGACTAAGAGGGGACGGGGGGAAAAAAAAACGAACAAAGGCTAAAAAATGGCCAAGGCTAGGAAGCGGGAAAGCTCGGAGCCTCTCCTGAGACTTGTAAATCCTTGGATTTGGCAGCAAGATGCCACAGCGAGCGCGAGACTACAGAAATGTCGAGCGTTAATAGCTGGGGCTGGCTGAGTAAAATTCTAATAATTTATCAGAGGCATTTGATTTCTTTTAAAGGATTTTTTTAAAAGTAAACAGATTAGTCATTTATTTTCCACTACTGCTGCTGGCTTCAGGAGAATAACTCATGATTATCCTCAGCTCATGAAATGGTCTGAAGAAAATATTCTCAAATAGAGGCTTGAGGGTTTTTGTTTGTTTCCTTTTTCAGCTTTCGCCAAAACAGAATACCGGGAGGCAGAGCCTCCCAAGCTCAGCAAACAGGAAGGGAAAAAAAAAAATCACATATTCAAAAGGTGACAGAGATTTGAAGCGACCCAGCACCACAT